ACTAATGTTGTACGGGCCTGATTACCCACATGGAGCTTAAAATACTAATTGCAGTCTTTTCTCCTCCTGAATTTAAGCAGACCAGGCTTGGGTTTTTTTCCAGCATGCTTCTTCTCCCTGTGCATATTAACAGTATAACAATTGTCCTGTCTTCTCAATAGCCCAGTTATGCTCAATTCTCTGCCAAGACGCTGTATGTTCCTAATCCTTTTGGTTATAATTGGTTTAACTAACTTCTCTGCTTTAACTTGCTCAATATTGTTGCACATAGCAATGGCAAGACCAGAAATATATGTTTTTTATTTTTTTAATGGTTTCTCTGATGAGATGGAATCACTTACTAGCTCTTCACAACCGAGGTGCTGAGGCAAATACCAATCAGACTGTATGCTGCTACCTGACTGAATGGCCTTCAAAGGTCACTTATCGTTTCCAGCAGTTTAGCAGCTGGGATGGCCTATGCAACTGCTACCTCCAATGAGCTATGGAGGATAATAATAATTTGTTACTATGCAGTGCTCAAAATTTAAGTGCCATCTTGGGCAAGGTCTATCCACGTCTTATTCTCTACGTGCTATGCATGGTGCTGTGATTAGGTGTGGGATATTTGTCTCCTAAAATGAGATGGAAGACAGTAAACTTGTTATAAATGTCAACATGTATAATTACTATTATTGAGTTTATGTGCATGGAAGGAAGTGGTTTACCTCTTTTACAAGCTATTAGCACTGCCAGCTTTAGTTTAAACTTAAAAATACACCTGGATTTAAAACTCATTGTCAGTTTTTAATACACAGGAAAGCAAATTAAGTTTCATCTCTGAAGGTGGTTAACCAGTCCCTAGACTGGTTTCACTTTGCATGATTTGATTTGCCTGTATATCAGTCAGGTTACTTTACAATTCTCTTCCACTTGCCCCCAGCAATGTTATCAGGGCAACAAACAGGCTGGGTCCTGAACAGCAACCATGCTAACAGAACTCCAGTTGTACAGGATGTATCACTAGCTCTTATGTAAATAAATAAAGGAACCAGCTGGATTCCCAGACCTAGAGAGATTGTAATGGCAAAAAATCCAGCTTTCAACTCAAACCAAACCACTGATACTGAAAAATTCACCAAGACAGGTCAACTACTTAACATTATAAATCCCAACATCTCATTTACCATGACAAGCACCAAGCTGCCTCATTTTCCCTACAGTCAACTGAAATAATACAAACACCCCATGAACAGCAAGAGTCAAGTGGTTCGATGCTAGAACTTTCCAGAATTCCATTCCAAGAACCAATTTGTCATCTTTGTGTATACTATGACCCTGAAAAGTCTGCTTATTGTGTCTTTTTTATTATCATTGTTTAAAAAATCCCTTTATCTACAAAACAATCTGAAGTTCATTCATCTTTGTGGCTAAACAGAGACCAAGAGCAGCATTCATTGAACTGTTGACATGCATCTGCAACACTTGCTCCTGCTCGTTAAAATTTCCAACCCTAGTGACTTCGAACTGGAAAGCAGCTCCAAAAGTTTTGCAGAAAGAAGCCTTCTCCCTTTCTGTTGCTCACCATGCTCTACCATATATCAAAGCCAAATGTGATGATATATGAGATACTGAGTTCTCTTGAACAGAGTCTGTGTGCTCAAGATGTTCAACACTCTTGAGGACAACTGTTCCTTTGAAGAAAGGGATCACAGATTAAGTATGTTTTGTTTAAGACCACATGATGGTCTTCTAGCCAATTTACAAGTAATGCAAGTAAAACAGGACTAACGTAAATTTTCAGACATTGATCAGACAATTTAGAGGGGTTTCAGATGCAATACTGGAAGCACCACTACCAAAAACCAGTAACATGGCTCTGCCATTGCTTTGGTTGTTGGGAGTGGTTTTTGCAGTCTGGATGAAGGAGCAAGTAATATACTTGTATTCCTATATAATTATATTCCTGTAGATGACTTCACAGAGTGATTGAGGTTTGCTAGTAACTTACATGCACAAACATTACAAAGAATTAACAAATTAGTTTGAACAGAAATCAAGACTCAAGAAACTACTGTCCCAATTCAGGCAGCATATTTGCATGTCACCCATCTTACATTCTCTGTAAGCGGCTATTCAGCTTTTCATATTTTGTCTGTGCTGCCTCCTACTAAAGCCCTATTTAATCACTGGCAGCTTGCTGGAAAAATCTGAAAGGAGACACTCACTTTTTTAGTTATGTAAAATTTTAGTAACTACAACATCTTCTATTATAAGTTTGGAGCCTTCAAGTGCTTCATTAGATTTAGAAATAACCTAAGAGAATTTACATATTCTTGCAAAATGATATACAAAAAAACCTTTAATCTACAAACACTAATTAGTTCCTACTACTTATTCCTCAGCTACAGACTATCTTAATCTGACATCAAAATGTCCATGAAGGTTTGATGCCATGAAGAACAGCAGCTATTACACAGAGAGCGCATGGTAAACAGAAGCAGGCAGGCAAAGAAGCCGCAAAGGCTCTTTTCAGGAAAGCATTCTTGAAGCCGTTAAAAGATCTATCTGTGGCCCAAAACACAAGGCTGGGAGCTAGCCATCTACTGTTCTGATTCCAGCTCCAACTCCTGTGCTCTTGTAAAGCCACTTCCCTATCTGTTTCCTTCATCCATTTGTTCAGCTTGACTAATTTAAAAGCAATGAAATTTTTGTAATATGCAGTCAATTCAGAGGTGCTTACCAGTGACCCAGTTTAACACTGTTCTCCACTTGTCTTCCACAGTTAACTATTATCAGCACCCATCTAGTCCTCATTTTCTCATACTCAAACCAACTGCAAGCAGTGGTCCTCCAGAGTCCCACTTGTAATTTCACAGAATCCAAATAGAAGTTTTTCAGCCAAAACCCTTAAACAAAGAAAAAACTTTGTCATGCTAACACTAAGCAGCTGCTAAATTCACCCAATTGAACTTTTGCCAACTTCATCCACAGAAAGTGTCTACAAAGTAATACTATCTCTAAAGCCTTAAGGCAATTAAAAAAATGCATTACTGGGTAACAGCACTCTGAAGAAAATGAACACAGAAGCACTTTCATGCAGGAATCATCCTATGAGGTGTTTATCGAAGCTGAAAGTTGACTTTGATGCTTAAAAAGCCAGTAACACTTTCACAAGACCTGTACCTGAGAAATCCTTTGAGATTTGACAGGGTTCTGGCTATCCAGCTGTTATATCCATCACTTACAAAAACTGCTACAGCTCGTACAGAAATTGGACTTACTGAGACCTCTTTGAAATGATACACTTACTTTCTCATTAGAAAGAGTGACTAAGAATTCTGGTACTCCTTGGCACTAAATTAGCAGGATGTAGCCTGACATGCGTTTGAAGCAACATGAGAACAAAAAACGTCTTCTGAGTTTATTTTTTTCACCAAACTGGTTCCTGATCAGTTTTGCCTTTCAGCTCAGCTGGATCCTGCCCGCATAATGGCAGGAGAACAGTCTGGAGTGGAATTTACTTCCATTCTCCCAGTTTGAACAAATACCACACTGTAGCCTCAGAAAGGGGGAAAAATGCCTGAGTTTAAATACTGCAAACAGAAATCAGTTACACATTCCTTGCTTCCTGCTTCATTAAGCAAAACAGATACTGGAAAAAAACCAAAACAAGCAACGCCTAAGCAGACCACAGATTGTTGGCAAATCATCAGCTATTAAGAGCTCAAACAGTCCCTTTTGAGATGAGAGCAAGACAACTTTTCACGTCATTTGAAGCTTGGTTAATATCTGTACTCGAGAGTAGGGAGATAACTCTTGGCTGGTACAGGTATCTGTCATGGACCACTTGGAAGCACTCACTGCACTGCCTGGCTGTATTTGGCCTCACTAATGACATCTCTCCTGAGCAACCACCACCAACAATTGCTGGCACCTAACTCTGTTCTCAGATAATTTAAACAAACAAAATGAAACCTGTTATAACAGAAAAATTCCCAAGTCATTTCTCCAGCGAGGGTTTCCACTGTAACAGTTATCCAACAGGTTCACGTTCAAAAGCAAAAAGCAAATTCAGTTCTAGAGCATACACCACCACCACCTCGTGGCCAGATGCCTCAAGCTCCCAGAACTCAATATATACTGCAGCTGCAATTCTAAGAGCCTTCAAACTGAATGCCACTGACAGATCCTCAGCAAACTACACTGTTATCCTGTGTGTGCTGCTCACAATCTTTTAATTACCTGTGAGGAGGTAAAAGTATCCTGCATGCAAACTGCTGTACCATTTCAGTTTCAAGGCAGCTTAAACATCACAAGTACAAGCTGTTTACTTCATGCTATAACTGAAGGAAGCTGCTACCCACTAGGCAAATGAGACATGAGGATTTGTGATTATGACTTTGAATGCACAGAGATGAGTACAAATTTCCCCTATTTTACTATCATAATGAAATAAGAAAACTAAGGCTATAAAGACAAATATGCTGAATTTCTTCTCCTGGTCCATTAAATTTAATGATTTTGAAAACTGCTTCTAGCTCCCAAGGTAAAAAGGGATTTCAGAAACATTCCCATATTTACTTTAACTGAGACACAAACATCAATTTATATTAGAGATGAAAATTGAAAGCACTGCCCTGCAGTAACCAGCACACAACTGTAAAAGATACACAGCAAAATACTCTGAAAGCAGTGTTTACAGTGGGGCAAATAACAAAGGACAGACAATGGGAAGAAAAAGAAGGAAGCCAGAATAGCTAGGCAGAACTAAAAATCAATACAAGACAATACTGTGTCTTAGATGAGACTAAGATGACTTACCTCTAGGTGGAAACTCTTTATACTGTTATTAAGCTGATCTGCCAAGGACAGTAAAGTGGTTTATTGCTCCAGAAATTCCAACCCAATATGTACTTACAAATAATCCTGAATGTGTCCACTGAATGAGTTATCTGTCAATGGGATAGAGGCTCTGTTTGGCTTCCCCTTTCTACATGCCTACTATTCGAAAGACTCACCAATAGTGGTACCATCTTCACCCATAATGCACTTCACGGAGGTGATGATTTGCTCCACAACAGGAGGTGACATTGATGTTGCATACACTGCACTGTGAGAGTATGTCCTGAGGTAATCAATCAGTTCCTAGCAAAACACAAGAGGCATCAGACATTGCCTTCCCAGCACTCAAAGAAATGCTTCATTGTCATGTCTTTAATCACAATAAAATGAGGCACCACATGAAACCTCTTTCAGAATGCCCCAGAAGAGAGTAAGTATCCCAAGTACATTTTACAGTACAAGAAATAAACCGTTGAAAACTGAACAGGAGGGACATGACATCCCATAATAATGTCACAGGGCAAGAATGTGTGTTGATCAGAGGCAAATGCCTACAACAGACCTGTTTAGATGACACCACCAGCAGTGGATTGTAATAAGGTATTTGCATTACTCAAGCTGTGCCCAGGATGCGTTTCAGAAGTGTTTATTATAACAAGGGGAGTATGAAACAATGAAATAGTGGGAAGCAGGATCCACAGGTGTTTCTGTATGGTGCTCAGTACACTTCTTTCCCCACAAAAGTCACCAAACGAGGAACAGGTCACAAAATTTTTTCTCTCATTTATCAGCAAAATACAAATAAAGCAGTAGGTGTAATTTAGGACTGCAAGAAGCCTTAGTCCTATCCCTCATGCATTTCCCAGTTAAACACACATGCTATTTTTGTTAGAGGGCAGAAGTAGGTTAGATAAGGAACAAAGAACCAACAAACCTTAGATCTAGGCTGCTTGTTAACTGTAACAATGCTAAAATACCCAGACCACCCTAGCAAAATATTATAAACATCAGTATGAATGCCAGGACAGATTCTGTCTTCTGCTACCACAAAATAAATAATGATGACCCTCTAGCTACCACAAGCTTGGAATGCATTATAAAAACATGTGGAAGTGTTCAGTTGCTGTCTGTCTAGGGTCACAGTTAAATGAAAGAAAGTTGTAAAGGGACTTTGAAACAAACTAGGTAAAAAGATTTAAGACCTCTTAGCTCTGAAGCAATCCCTCAATCAGTAGCTAAAACATAGTTTAAAAAAGATTCTTAGCTCCTTTATCTTATGTCATGGAGTTAATCCCAGTAGCTCACTACCTTTGGAAAAAGATTTATATGGTGCTTTTTTTTCTGGGAAAGATATAAGAGTAATTTTAATCTAACTGTACTAAACTCCCTAAGAGGAACATCTGTAAGTCCCATCTCCATTTGGATGGGTGGAAGTAATTATCACAATTAATATATAAAAAATTCTTGTCCTGGTAGGAAAATGGTAGAAGTTTACCCTCAAATAAAGCTTAGCAGCCTGATCTGTGAGATATATTTCAGGATATGAGAACAGCAACACAGGGAATTATCTACACCCTCCCTCTGAGAATTTGCAGTTTGGTAAGAGCAACACCTTCTAGCCATACTTTCCAATAAAAAAAAAAAAGACAGTAGTCAAAAAAACCCCAACCCTCCCAAGCAAACAAAATGCCAAAACAAAAAACCCCAAACCAATCAACCAAAAAAACAAAAGAGAAGAAGTGTCTTTTTAGAAAGCAAACTGTTTGTGTTCAGGGGGAATCAATTCTACCAGATTAATCTAAGAAGGGGATTTTCCTCTGAACACGCTGAAAAACTTCAGCTTTTGGTATTTTTCCTGCAAGTCTCATTAAAAATAACTTTAGTAAATCCCTGTTTGCTGTCTCCTAGCAGTTCCTAGAAAGATACTACATCATTACTATACATTCTGCAACCTGAGATCGTCACTGACCATGTGAGAACTAAACAATTATAAGGTATTTTACTAAAGTAGACTCTTCTGCCCTGCACAGATTTTCACATTATTAGACAGTATGTAAATTTATGAAACAAATGGACAATTGGGGTACTTGAAAAATAGAATAACTTTGAAATGCTTAATGAAGGACTCCACCACCTGCCCAAAATAGCCATGCGATTCCCAGTTCTTTACCTTTTTGCCCCCAATGTATCCTCCTGCAGCTCCAAAGCTTTTGGTGAATGTTCCCATCATAACATCCACATCTTCAGGATTGAGCCCAAAATACTCCACTACACCCCGGCCACTGGGACCCAGGGCACCTATGCTGTGAGCTTCATCAAGGTACAGATAGGATTTGTACTTCTTCTTGAGGGCAATCACTTCAGGCAAACGGACTATGGATCCCTCCATACTGTTGAGAAACAAAAATTCAGTGTAAGTTGATTTAATGGTTGGGACAACCACCTTATGGAGCCTGAAGTCACTACGCTTTCATTTCTTCACTCTTTCAGCAATTATGAACACTTAAAATTTGCTAGACATACCATGTTCTGCAGAGATGCACCTCTCCTCCTTGCACCTGGGGCCCAGAGCTCTAGTTTCTACCTGTTCAACATCTCTGGGATGCTGACATGCAGACTAAATAAGTAGCAGCAACAGTAAGCACAGGAATGTGTTCAGTGATGACTTTATAAATTAATTATCTTCCACCCTTATGTCAGTATTCTGATCATACATCTACTTACCTGTTGTTTTTAAGGACCAGGCTCTCATTAGTAGCACTCCAAAGCACCCCACTTTGTGCTGAAAGTCACTATGATTTAAATGCCTAACACAGCTATGCCTACTACATGCTCCTACTCACTCTCAGCAAAAACATTATATTTGTGCAATTCCATTCACACTAGCATCATCTAGTGAGCACAGAAAGAATGGAATGGACAAGCAATTTAAGACCACAGTTCTGATATAAATAATTGGGTTTGATTATTTAATTTCTATAATCTAATCAAGATGTGGGAAGCATTGTGATAGCACCAGGTGCAGCTACAGTTCTAGCAACAGAAAACCCGGGATGTGAGATCAACATAGCATAATCTAATTCACAGATGAGATTAATGAAATAACTATGAAGTGACAATATTCATAGTTCGATTTGGCAAAGAAACCCAAACACTAAGCATCTAGATCTCATGTGGAGGGTCTTAGGAATATAAAGAATAGTTTGTACCTGTATATTCCTTCCACCAAGATAAGAATTTTTTTCCAGGGCCTCCGTGTACGAGGTTGCCCATGCACAATAGCATCTTTGAGCAGCTTCTCCAGGCTTTGCATATCTGCACCAGAAATTACTGTTAAATGGTACCAAAACAGCTAGCTTGAGCTTTGACATGACTAAAGACAGCAATATTCCAGAAATGCACAAATTGCTCCAGCATGGAGGACAGACCATACACAAGTCAACAAGCACAGGCTTCATTCAGCTGCGGGCCCACCGATGAGCCTAAAGGGAGTGGGTGACTGTATGAACTCCAAGGACAAATTTCATACTCCTATGCTAAAAACATAAGTTAGAGCATTAGGCACAAACCAAGAAAGGGTGGGAAAAAAGAGTATCTCATTTTGATGAAAAGAGAAAGCCATTTAGATAGTAAGAATGTCCTTGTGGATAGAAATAATTAAAAAAAGAACAAGTAAGTTCAAGGATAATCAACTAAAGATAAGTAAAAGATAGAACAAAGCACATAAAGAGAAGTAGGGCAAGTATAATTTTTTATTCCTTCATTTAAAATTGAAGGGACTGGAGGTGTGGAACATGAAGCTTCTAAACCAAAAATAGAAAAGAAAGACCAGTGTAGGAACGAGGACAGTGTTCAGAATATCAGAAACCAGACAGATGAAGCTGTTAGTAGCAATGTATTCTGAAACCTTACTAGCTTCAGCTACGAACCCTTGAGACAATCCTAAAAGACCTAACTAATGTGAACAAATAAATAGACATGAAATCAGTCCTGAAAAAAAACCTTGGAGGAAAGGAGTGGAGATGGGATTAATCAAAGCATACAACCCAAAGTGCTGAGCAGAGACAGATATAAAAACACTAGGTCATGAGAAAGAAGACAATTAATCATGAAAAGAGAACTGGTAGAATAGGGCAGTTGTAGCAGCAAGAGCAGCTTGTGAACTAGAACTAGGCTAGAAATTACACAGCAAAGTAGGTCAGTCAATAGACCGTCAAAGGACAGCTAGTGTTCAGAAAAAGTCAACGAAGAAGGCAGTGTAGTACCTGTCTCCAACAAATCTCTCAATAAGAAAAGACAAGTTTAGTGCAGTTAGGGAGAACAGTGGAAAATACTTGTCTGCTCTGACCTCTCGATAAAGAGGGAAAGATTGGGAACTAAGTCTGACCTTAATAAAAAGGACAAACTACAGAATGAGGCAGAGAAAAAAAAACATTGAACAAGGATTTTAAGGGGGATTTTTCATTTTCCCCTCTTGTAATTTCTAAAAAGCAGAATATGAATAAAGCCATTAACCTCTCCGGGAAATCAAGTTAACTAAGGCAGCATAGAGTACAACAAGAGTAGGACTGAAAACACATAGAGAAATATAAACTGAACATCATCTTGACAGGCCAAGACCACTGTTTGCATTTTGCCTTCTAATTCTAATCTGCCATTCATTCTCTTTCACAGAACCCCACCATCTCTAATTTTTCAAGAATTTTCCCCAATCTCACCACTGCTAGTTTGTACCCCATTCCTACAGATCATCTATTCTTCATCACAGCAGAGCTTCTAAGTCCTTCTCCTTATAGCCAGAACTGCATTCTAACCAGTGATCTTTGAAATTCTGGAAACGGATGTAATGTTCAGAAGTATGTGCAGAAGTAGAATGCAAAGCTTTTGTGATCTTGCTCAGCAACCAAGATTTATGAAGAATTAAAAAAAAATTATGAATGTTACAATAAGCTCTACATTTTTGTAAAGACAATTATTCAAACGATAGAGAATAAGAAAGAGAGAACACAAAAGAAACAGTAAGCACAGCAGAGAATCCACTACCAAGTAGGACAAAGAAAGAAAAATAATTGCAGCCACCCAAGCTTTGCTGTCACCACTACACACTTCAAAGAGAGCAAGAGTCATCATGATCTCAGAGACTGACACTATAAAGAGTATTAGAAGTAGCTGAAGAATGAAGGTAGTGGCTTTATTAATCAAGGACAACAGGTGCCTCATTCACTGAGAGTAAGAGAAGGAAATCCTAGGTATCTTTAATGTGAAAGTTATTATAAATACCTTATTTGGAGGAAGATGAAATTAGGAAAGTAAAAATCTGTGTATATTGGAAGTAATACGTAAAGCAAGTAACTCAGTGAAATTAATCTATGCTTCACATCCCAAAAATTCCTTTACTACTACATTGTACCAATTCACGACTGCGTAGTTCAGCTAGGACATCTGCAACTGTAAGCTTTTGTTACTGTAGGATAACACTGGCATCTGGTTCTAAAATTAAACTTCCTTATCCCCCAAACTGTAACCTAGACCCCTACAAGATTGCATTATTATGTGACACAGACTCTTTGAATAATCTAACTGTGCTGAGCTATCCAAGTAGCAAGAAGCTATGTTAAAACAACAGTGCCTCTACACCTGCCAAAAGGTAGCATGTTTCTCTTCATATGCAAAAGATGTAAGCTAGAACAGCTTCAGGATAAAAGTGTTATTAGTTGGGACTGAATATATAAAAAAATATCCAATACAGGATGATTAAATTCTCAGTAGCAGCAGTCTTCTGACCTTTCCAGTAGCCAGCAATTGATTTCCTTGCATGAAATTGGATTTCCAGATATTAGAAGATACAAGAGTGTGTATCCTATCTACAGCATCTGCAAAAGGCAGAGTCCACCATCTGATACTTACTGTTGTGCTTAAAGATTCGAATAGTTGCTCCTGACAGTCTTGCTCCAAGCACTAGTGATGCATGATTCAGTTCATCACTCAAAATCAGACAGCCCTGAATTAGATGGGGAAAGAGGAAGATATTGAAAAGGTTATGTTTCACAGCCAGCATATAACACCTTTCAGCTCTGAACTGCTTACAGATCATTTAGGGAAAAAAAAATTCCAACATAAATGCAGCTAGTCCAGGTAAGACTTGCTAATACACAATTTGCAGCCTTAGTATGGCAAATAAAAATATACAATAAATACAAATAAAAACTGCCCTTAACTGAAGGAACCACTTCAGTCTCACTTTTCCCAGAAGTCTGGCAGCTGAATCTGCCTGAATATCTCATGCTAATGATGAGTACTCATCCTCCCACGCAGTCAGGTAAAACAGAGAGCAGAGAAGCTTGCCCCAGTTCACGCAGCAAGTCTAGGGTGGTGCTAAGAAACAAGCCACCAAAGTCCTAGATTAAAAGCTTTATCAAAGTTGCACTATTCCTTACATGAGGAGGCAACCACTTACTAAACCCATGTGTAGATGGAGGTAATGTAAAAAAGACAGGAGGTGGAACACAAAATTGCATAATGAAATTGAGAAGTTTTCTGAAGTCATTAACTATGACATTGGATTTGTTTGCTTTTTCAAAAAGGGAAGATAAATCCTTGAAAAAATATTAAAACAGGATAGGCCTGTTTTGAGAGCAGTGATGATTCCAGGTCAATAATTGATATGCTGAACATTTAGTCACAGTGTTATCACTGTGGGCTACAGGAATGTATATATTGGGGGACTAATATGCAAGGGAGCAACAATAGTTCTAAATAACCTTGGCCCATTCATTCAAATTACCATGCAAGTGTTCTGCAACTCTAGAAGTGACTTTGTTCAGTTAAAAATCCAGAAAGCATGTCAAGATGCTGAAGATTTACCACTAACATCTGCTCATTCTATGCTTGTCTAATAACCACTGGTGGAGGGAAGAACCAAGATTTTTTCTCTGCAATGGGAGTTACTAGAAAGGACTGTGAAAAGCATTGCCTATAGTTACACAAGGAGGTGTCACAGACAACAGGATTATTTTCTCCATAATAAAGAAAATTTTGCACTAGAATGACAATGAACCAAGAAACAGCCTACATCCTGAGAAAGCTCAAGACTGGTTTGCCCTGGAAACTGCAGCAAATTCAAGTGTTCATACTGCTGCGACAAACATGGCATATTTCAGAGACTTTGGCATAAGAAGTATGAAAATCTTCAACCAGTGTTTGCTCTTTGAACTACTATACCAGACAAAGAGTATGCATATTATATCAGAGGGCACTGCTGTCAAACATTACTGTATGAGAAAACCCAAATATAATAATCCAATACAAGCATACTTCTTAAATGGTAGAAAGTAGGAAAAGTGATACATTAAAAGAAAAGGAAGAAGAGATTAACAGTCTAGAAGGAGCTTCTCCATAAAAACAAGGATGAGCTTTTGGTGCAGAAAGTAGATTTAACAAATTGATGAGCAGCCTCTTTTCATCCGCCGTTAACAGGAGACGACATTCAATTAAAAACAAATTAAATTGAAACTGAACAAATAGCAAAGAGTCTAGTAATGTCTGCCTCTAGAGAAAGGGCAAAGGATCACACAAGCCACTGGTACAGTACAGCAATCACTGATGATCATATGTAAAACTGAGTGCTGCTACTCCAATGATAAGACTTCAGTTGCATTTATCAGCAAATTTACATTTGAGAGAGCATCTAGGAGAAGGCTAACAGCAACTGGAGACAACACTACTGGGATCTAGAAGAACATATGACAGTGAAGATCAGACATACCACTGCATCCTACAAGGCAGACAAGGAAACTAAAGTGAATGCCACATTTTACCACAGAGTGCTACATATATTAATTGTGTAATTCAGTCCTGAGCACTTAATTTCACAACCTACCAATACATGGAAATTAATTTGCTTTCTTACAACAACAAAAAGATCCTTCAAGCATCATTGCTCCAATTTAATTGTCTAGCCTCTATCAGTCCAGAGCTATGACAAAAAGCTCTGTGCTACAGGCATTAGAGAATGGTGTGATTAGCTAATTAAAATAACTATATTAGCGACATTTACTCTAAAACAGGCAAGTTTCAGAGTGGCTACTGAATAAGTAATTCTCAAATTTCATATTATCTGGAGTCTAGATGCAGCATCCTTGGCAGTGACTATACTAGGCAGCTGACAACTTGGCAATGAATAGAAGGTCTCTGCTGCTGAAAACTTCCAGGTGTAGAAAGACCTGTTTTTAGTGATGCTTTAACAGTGCTAAAACACAACTTTCAGTCTACACCGTTTTCAGCATCTGCTTAGTAGAAGCTGCTGTTAACAAAGCATAGTAAATAAAGATCAATTAAGTAATCCTGATGAAGCTTTTGAGTTCCTTTTGCTGACTAATGCTGATCATATTATGGGGTAGAAGTGGATCTAGGATAATCAAGTTGTATTTGTTGCTATAAAAAGAGGATTCAGTAGCAATATAAACCAAGTGCTTCAGGATTCCACAGAGCAGAAATGGAAGAGGTTGTCCAATATTACATCTGTGTGAGCAACCGTATTGCAGTAGCTTGTTCTAAGCTAATTAAGTTGCAATATAGGTGTCCAAATACAATACAAATAATTATTAACTTCAAACATATCTGCAACTGTCAAAGAAACTCCTTTTGGCCAAATGCAGATGCCATTACTGATTATATTTGCCAAACCTCCAAAAATTCATGTTGCAAGCAGCTTTGCAATGGGAAATGTATGTAGGACCTGCAGAGCGACACAAACAGTAGTTTGAAAAAATAATAAAAGCACCTAAGAGTCTAATCAAGTATGGGAATCTCTGAGCTTTACTGAGAACTCTATCAAAGCATTGCCAAACAGGTTGTGCACACACTTAATTGTGTACTGGCTGGTGCCAGAATTCGGGATTTATGTGAGTCCTTATTTGCACACAATGAAGAAATCAAATGTGCAGTGAGAAGCAACTTCAGGAGGCCAAAAAAAATCATTCTGTCAACATTATGAACTTCAAAATGGCTCATTTGACAAGAACTCTTTTCTTCAGAAGCGTGCATCTTCTGTTTGAAGTATAAGAGCATATATACCTGAGTATAAGGGTACTTGTAGTGTTATGACACAGAAGCTTCTTACTTATTTCAAGTGCACAAAAACTAAGTATCCTCATGACTAACACAGTACAGACTGCTGTATCCATCTATGAAAAGAGCTGTTTTAGTAAAGGTGTAAATGAGGTGCATGAAAACAGGTATGTTACATGCCATGAAATTTACTGTTCAGATTTTCTCAGTGATTGTAAAACCTGTTAAAGTTCAAATATGAAAACTCAGAACCTAAGAAAGGTTTTTTTCATATGGTATTGAAGATAGACAGTGGGCTCCACATACACAGAGAAAAAGATGGAGTGGTAATTTGTACTCACAACAGTCAGCTATCTACTTAAATGGATCTGACAGTGTGTTCTGAATCTTAAAGGTCTCACCGAAATCATTAATGATTTTTCTGCTGAACAGAAAACTGGAGAGATGTGGAAACACAAACAGCCAAAAAATGCAAGTAAAAGGTATGTCAGAAGTACCACATACAGGAAGACACTACAGCTAATCCAAAAGGGAATCGCCAGGAAGAAGAGTTGCAAGGAAGAACAAGGCTGAAAATTTATAATCTGTAGATATCATAAGTGGAATAATTTACAAAGTGATCTCAAGAAATGGAAAAATAAATAAATGAAATAGGAGGCAAATAAGCAGAGACAAAGAATTCCTATAGATTAGTAGTATTAGGTTGACAGTGAATTATTTTCAAAAGAGGAAACTGTTCTAGTACTTGCAGTATTTTACTCTACAGAGGAGCTAAGAGAAAATACATTTTGCATCAGAAGATGCAAACAAAAAGTTCTCTTCCATTTCATTTTCCAATAATTAAAAAAGCATAGTTGGAGATACTGGACACTCAAGACTACACTATCTACTGTTTTACTGGGCTCACAGTAGACATGAGTCCTTACAGTTGACATTGTATCTCTCAAAGAACTTTTTTACAGGGATTTTGTTCCTTCAAAGGGAGGATTTTTCAGCTGTCACTCAAAGATAATAAATTCCCTATGTGCCAACATGCAATTCAGCTTATCTGACACAGTCACTTCTTAGTGTCTCAAAAGCATCAAAATACCTTCAGCCAATCAGCCTGTTAATCAGCCATTATTTCATAAACCAGTGAGTAGCCCGAGGAAGCAAGCCCTAACATATTAAGCTCTCTCCCAGACAGACAGCAAGTTCTGGGTTGCTACTGGTCCCATGGATGCTGTTTCCCAAAGAGATTTGCAGCAAAGGTCAGACCTATAGTTTCTATAGAGAATATCTGCAGGGGTTGCCACTGAACAAAAACAAAAAAGCAGCTTTTAGAAAAATTAACCAGTAGAATCTTTGTTAGACGAGCTTCTGTCCATGACTTAAGCCATACCTTGCCCACTAAAGCAGGAATGTTCATAGAGTTGGTTGCAAACCCCATTCCATATGCCATTGCAGATTCCACACCTAGGAACCTGGCAACTAGCTTTTCCAGCTCCTCATGCTTGTCCAAGTTTCCTGCACACAAAAGAGAAATTCAGAGTAAGGAAAAGCTTTTGCTATTGCTAAATTCTACAAGAAGGATTTCCACCAACCAAGCTACTCTTACTTAAAGGCCCATAAGGGAACACTGAAAGAAAAAAACACGTATGAAAACATAAGTAAGACAACTGTTGTGCAATATAAACTAAACCCAGGAAGTCAATTTATCTTCACTGAAGTAAAAGCTTCTTTACTGGTCAGACTAAAGTTCAGTGCTGGAACAACTAATGTTTCAAAGACCTGCAATTACAGGTACTGAGATTACAGACTTTGGAACATACATTCAGGGAACATACTATCTTCCTCCAACTTACCCATCTCCTGCCTAGTGCTGCAAACCCCAGCTCCATATTGGGATAGAACTTTAGCTGCTGCTTCTTGGCAAGCCCCAACATTCTGTGCAAATCCAAGGTAGTTGTAGGAACCCATATTAATAATGTCTTTTATCACTCTCCCTGTATACCTGTGTTTTAAAAACATCACAAGTTAGGGCATAGACAATTAAAAAAATTAACTACAACAGAAGATTATTATTTCACTTTCCTAGACTATACACTGAAATGTTAAAAATCAATAGAATCAACCATTAAATTATTTCAGTACTGCCACTCATCATCAAACTGCAACAACCAGTGAAAAAGATTCTTTCCCTATCTTGCAGTCTCAAATTAATTCCTAGAAGAGTTTGCATTTAAAGGTGAATTTGCAATCATATACAAAATTGCTTGAGGCTTCTCAAACTATTTGTTGTTTCTCTGACATATTTCCCCCTCCATTCCAGAAATATAGAACTTTTCTTTCAGTTACAAAATACCACCTCTAGATCAATTAACTTGGCAGCCCCTCAAGCGGGATATCCTCTAACCACAGAAAGGAAACACATCTGGCATTGCTGTGCTAACACTACGTGACAAGGAGATTAAGGAAGAAGTTTAACAGAAAAAGAAGTTTTAATTCTTTTACCCTTGAAAGCCAAGGAGAGACATAACCAGTTTCACCAAGTACTATGTGGCAAACCTCTTCACAAACTCGTGATATGTCATCTCCAATCTGCAGAAATCTTTTCCTTGTATTTCTGATTTTGTTTCTACAGACTATTTCAGTTCTGACTCAAAACAATCATGTTAAATTCAGCTCAGGCAGCAATATTTACTTCAAGTGTGAGAATTCATTCTAAATAAACACCAAGTCACAAATAGCAGCGCAATCCAGAGTACCTACTGCAGGTTCTGTTCACCATGCACAAAGGTATCAATTTTATTACAGGTCCATGCCCATGAAATCTTAACAATCAGGAACCTTAGTAAGTAGACAAAAGATTATATACAAATTATCACCTTGGAGGCCAAATGTGTTTCAGAAGAGCAAAATTCATTGATTCGAAATGCTGGAAAGCTCAAACCATACATAATACGTTACTCTTTTAACGTCACAGCCTGCAACTTGCTCTTACAGACCCTCTATTTCAAGACAGGTGTTGCAAGTGTTTTCTTGAATTTGGACTCACGTGAATGTCCAGTTATAGTCATGGGAAACTCTCTCCATCATGTCCACTTTGGCCCCTGGCACACTGCAGATTGGACGGTTCCAGCTGTCCCGAATGCGCATGTAGAGGTTTCTGTTGTAGAAATTTTCAAAGTCCTGGTACAATGGGACAAAATCCTGAAACACATCAAAAGCACTCAAAGTAAAAGGAAAATATGTATCACAGCAAACTAAGAAGAAGAGGAATAAGTCTTTTCTGTCATTCTGCTGTAATGAAAAATATAAAGAAAACCTGAAACATACAATAGCCCCCTTCTTGAAATGTTTGGGCATATAATCTTTACAAGAGAGGTGTATTCAACCTTCAGAGTTAAGCAGAGCAAGGGAACGTGCAATTGTTTCTTGGCACCAAAGAGTATTATGCATTGCTCTACTGAATACACAAACACTTTGAAAACTGAGGTACTCTACCATATGTCATTCTATGCATAAGAAAGGTATTTATTATAGCAGCACTAGCATTATTATACATGCTACCCTTAGAAATTTCCACAATTTTTTGTTTTGAATAGAAGCTAGTAAGCTACATTATGGCATCTCTCTTCTGCACCGCTTATCAGAACTGAAGTCCCCCATGATTTTTATGAATGAGCATTTCCTGAATTTTAGCTTCCCTTCCAACATTTTCAGGAAAAATAAGTGACTGCCTTGAATGGATAACACAAGAATGTCAAACTAACTGTGGCAACAAGGACATCTGAACGCTCAAGAACATTTTTTTCTGGCTCCAAAGTCACAAGATTTCCTTTTTACTATTCAGTTCAAGAAAGTTTGACATTGAGTAGTGATAAGAATGCACAATTCATTTGCTGAAATTTGGTGGGGAAAAAAAAAAGCCTTTTTAATAATCTACAAAAGGAAAAAGTAGAATTTATGACAAAGGTAAGAGCCAGCAGAGCATTTCTTCCTGTTTTTCACAAGAAAAATGCCAACATGTTGACAAGCATTTTATTTTTGGTAACAGTATGATGAAGACAGAATATCTGTCTGAGCAAATACTACAGTGTCAGACATTTGTGCCACTGGAGCAAAACTGGGAGCATTTATGGCAGGTTTTTAACAAAAATACAAACAGATGGGCACTGACAACTTCTTACTTACAATGCTTGCCTGCAGGAGGAGTGCTTTTTTCTTTACCTTCCTATTTTAATGATTTAACAACTTGGTCCTTGCCATTTCGAGTAAAGGAACCACCCCTTTGCATCCTCCTACCAGCAGCTGCACAGGGAAGACCTAGCCCAAAAGTGCCACCTTCTGAGCAGACATGGTTGCACCTAAGCCCCCTTCTGATTTGCCTGTGCACAATGACATGCCAAAAAAGCACAGTTATGGAGAAACAAACCTAATTTAGCTAGTGATCACTCTTCCAAGGAATCACAAGTATGTCCTTTCTCAGCAAAGAGAGAGAGGGAATAAAATTTCTATGAGCTAAGATGCACGGAAAGGCAATTACTTCTTCCATGTTCCTGCCCCAATTCATGACACAAAATGGAAATCATTATCTTCAATTGTTAGAAACCCTCTGCTATGTTATTTGTAGAGGGGTGGGAGAAGTGAGATCAAAAAGAAACACTGGCACATTAGAAGATCAATACTTGAGAGATTTGTTATGTCTAATTATAACCTACCAAGATTTTTCTATGCATTTTCAACTACTGTTAACTATCTCTGCATGAGAATTCAGCTCGGCAATAGTTATCCAAGCACATCAACTATGTGACCCAAGAAACAATTGATATTTTAGCCAAGGTTACTGGCTAGGAGAGGGAGGCTGGAAATGAGTCATTATACCAACTCAAGCAGGTATGCCTGGGTTGATTCAGTCCAATCTCACTTCAGATTACTCATCAGATACAGCATATTTTCTTCTGCTACCCAAGCTGACAAAGCCAGAAGAGTAACAAGCTCAACTGGTGAGATAAAGACAATCACCCACAACAGGTTGACACCACCGGTATATGCAACACAAATATGATCTTACAAGCCAACAGTAGAACTAAGTTCAAAGTAATTTAACTGTGAAATAGAACTTAATGGATTGTGATGAGGAAAAAATATGTCTCAAAAGTCTACAAGAATTCAAGGAACAAATTAAGGGTAAGGGAATTAAGGTCTAATATGGGACACTAGCTTTAGTTTTTTGGGGTACCAAGCTGTAGGATTACAGCTTGGTACTCCAAAAGGGCTTTAAGTGAAGCATCAGCATAATACCAGCTCCTTTGCTGCCTGTACATGCACCCCTCCCTCCGATAAACAACCCTGAGATAGCTCTCTTGAGAAAGTTCCTTGGAGTTCCTTGGAATAGGACAGGCAGGAAGTGTTATTTTGGCATAATGCAAAACTGGATTGTCTATTTCCTCAGTAATCCTAACCTCACCGAGGGGTTCTCACGACCCACCCATCTGAGAATGCAAAAAGAGAAATGGTAGGGTTATCACGCCTTTATAAACTGACACCGACTTTCAGAGTTTAAGAGCCCTCTTTTGGAGTCGGCATATAGGACCAGATCATGTGCTGGTTGTTTTAGGGGTTGTTTTTTTTGGATGTTTGTTTGTTTCCCTCCTCTATCCTTCTACAGTGTGGCATTCCAAAAGACAGTAGAGCAAAAAGACCACTTGAATTCCACATGCAAATTTAATGCTTTCACTCTTTGAGCCAAGAAAAAAAACATCTGAGGAGGAAGGGGGATAAATTCTATCAATCCATACTATTTCAAATTTTTGGCATATGCAGCCACAGTGCTCTGCTGCAATAGTGTCCGACTGCTGGAAGCAACCACTAATGCTTTTAAATGGTCTTCAGACCTTGTTATTTTTCCAGCCTCATCCAGTTCTCATCCAGTTCTCATTCTCTAAAAGACTCTAAGAATACCAGTCTGAGATTAAACAGTCTGAGATTTCATTTGGAGGAAAAATATTCCAGGAGTAAGTTGATTCTTTGAGTAATTTTCAGAGTAAGCACTGTCAAACAACTGCAAAAGGTATACTGCTAACAAAGGAGGGAGCAACGGCAGCATGTTCTTCCATTCATGGCGCTAAAAAATCCCAAATATCTCTATTCCTGTCAATTTAAGCCTAGAACACATCCTCTATTAGAGAGGTGATGCCTGATGAAGAAACCTAAACTCTAGTGGTCTCCCAGAAACCTGAAAATCATAGTAATTTTAAGAAAGAGCCAATTAAGGAAAGAATAAAATTCTTCCTTGGGGTGCAGCACCTTAGTACAGGTGATTTGGGATCCATTACTTCATTGTACTGTAAATTAATACTACAACAAGTGAAGGTCATAATGAGAGCTTTGTAGGCATTAGCTTGGGGCACAGTGACATGCAAATGCAGTGATTATGTTCCTTTTATTTAGAGCCAAGTTTTCACAACATTGCACCTAAGCTAACAAATGGTGCCATGAGCACCAGCAGGGCTTATCTGCAATTCAGATAATGCACTCCCTGATAATGCATAACTGACTCTGAATAGAAATCAAGTAGACAATTGCAACAAATTTCAGGCCTCTTAAAGGAAGCAGAAAGACCAGATCCATCTCACTGCAAAAAGCGGAGCAGGAACTGTAGGTAGCCTTTATACTGTCAGGTGGCCTCTGATGAGCTATACAGAAACTAAGAGAACACTGAACAAAAGACTCTAGTTTACTGGCCCTGAGACACTCCTAGAGCTAGACTCCTGTGAACAAGTGTTGAAAGCCCCAGATGCTAGAAACACGTTCTAACTGGGCAAGCTACAGAGTATGGAGAGGTATGTTAGAGAGTTACCAGCCCCATGTGCTCCCAAATACAAACCAAGCATGGTAATCAACAGGCAAATCAGACTGGAAGGAAGGTAGAAGTGATTTTCATTCTGCCTATAAAATCCTAGAAGCATTTTGCAGATTTAACTACATTGTATGACCAGACAGTATACTAAAGTGGGTACGCAGAAACTGATTCTAAGGTAATTAAGAATTGTTAGCCTTGCCACTTACCCATGCCTAAAACAGACTGGTAATGCTTCAGAGAGGATGTGCTACACAACACTGGTTTCCAGGAAAAGCCCAGCTGGATATATTTTAAACAAAGCCAAAACCCATCAAGCTATTTCCTGGAAATCAGTACTAGCAAAGTCTATCACTTTTCACCCTCTTGTGTTCCAACAATGAGGGAATACTAGGTTTTCTTGAAATCATTCATATCAATGCACGGCTCTAATAAATTCCAAGCAATTCACCTCTGTCAGAGACAGTCCTAATTCAGACTGGTTCAAAATCCTGCTCTGCTCTTTAAATTAGTTTGATCACTTGCATTTTCTAGTTACAATGCACAGAATAAGATTATAATGTTAAGTGACAATTTAAGGAAGGATTTGCTCTACTGAACTAAACTGCCCTCCAAAACTCAGAAAAGCTGAAGGTGGCTTTTTCTCTTGTTTTTAATACTACATTTTGAACCTAAGTTTATGTTATGCTTCTAACTGTGATCACCTTCATAAACACACCACAGAAAATTCACATACTTCAAGTCCATGACTGCCAGAACAGGTTAATTCAGCCCTTTACAAAATACTTCCCCACACTATGTAATTTTGTTATGCTCACAAAGGAGGTTGTCACACACTGTTCAGCTACATAGCTACTCCCACCGCCTTTGCTTTGAGCTTTTCACCTAAGCAATTATGAACTATTTCAAAAAGATAAGACTAACCCTTTTGCTTAATACTTAAGAAAATAATAATAATAATCTAGCTGGCTCTTTAGCATTTAAATAATAAAAATGTTACTTTCCACACAGAGGTCACAAATCTGCCAGAAAGTACCCCAGGGTAATCACAGGGCTCCTCTGATTTGAATGTATTAATAATAATAATAATAATACAAAAGGTGAGGTTTGGGCCTTTGCTGCACACGAGTATCTGCATTCTCTTACCAAAAGGTGATTGGGCTGTCATCCAGCAGCTTGAGAGATTCAAATATTTAAAAATCGTGAGAAAATCACTTCAAAACAAGTCATTGAGCACATGCCTCCCCCCCTCGCATCAAAAAACCCCTGGCTCCCACACTAGATATGCTGCAATATGCTCTCGTCAATTCATTTGCAGGCAAACAAAGCTTAAAGCAGCAAAGTGTGAAGATAAGTATTGTATATTCTAGACCTCACATCATCACTTTTCTATTTGTCTGATATCGGAAACAGCTGTTACAATCTAAGCACTAGGAATGTGATTTGGGGAAGTACACTAGGCTGAGATTTCTTCAACACCAGAACTTTTTTAAACAGAATTTCCTGTTTTTCATTCTTACGCAATATTCACTGGCACTTCTTACTAGCTCCATTCACAGACATCCTATGTACAAAACAAAACCAGAATACATCCATCTCTTCATGGAAGCTGTGACTGACACAGAAACTGAAAGGTTTTCAATCCATCTGTCTAGAAGGTATACTTGTTAAGCAAATCTCTTTCAGGGTAAGATGCAATGCTGAGTTAAATTATAAAAAAATTCAGGGCTAAATTTCTTTTAGGACTAGGATAATCTGTTGCTAACAAACTGTGCTTCAAAGTCCTCTGGAGGACTGTGAAGTAATTTTAGGCACTGCTTAGTTTACTGCATCTTAGCTAATCTACTGTAAAAAGACATGCACTGTACTCCAGTGATGTCTCAAAAAAAAGTCTTCAAAGGAGCCTTCCCTCTTTTACTTCCTCCCTGCCACCCTTGTTTTATTTGTTTGCCTTATTGACATGTTCTTCCTGCCCCCCCTATTTTCTGCTAGCCAACTACCTGTGTGGTTGCACAGAGAATCAGAAACCAGCAACTGGAAAAGGAACTCCCTTTACATTTTATAAGCCAGATTGGCTCCTCAAAGAAGTTGAGAAAAACACAACCCAAATCATCAAGAGTAAGACCTTTGGAGAAAGCTCACTAGTAGTCACACTGTGCTAAGAGGGGTCACATTAAGAGTTAGCAATGAAATAGGTTGTGAACTTCAAGTTTCAACAGTAGCATTCATAACAATAATCAACTCCTGTGGAGAATAAAGACCTCTAAAAATAATTTATAACTACTCAAAACCAAAATTACCTATTCTATACTAACTGCTGAAGCAGGCAAGACCTTTCACCTGGTAACAGAAACTTCTGTGAATGGGTCATAACATGAATGAATTCTTTTTAATCACTATCAGTGAGGCGGGAGTCAGTACCTCAGACTACTCACCAGCTAACCTGCTGGTGTTCTGGACTCCAAATTTAAATTCATACAACTTGTACTCTCGACCTGACCCACAAACTTCTCTTCACAACTGCTTCAGCTAAAGAGAATTAATAACATGTTTCTAAATCAAAATTCAGCCACCAGAGCAGCATCAGAAAGACTCCCACTGGTGTTATAAACTCAGACCAGATCCTTTGATAAGGTTTTCATTAGCTGCTGCTGATGCCATACACAGTCTCCCCCAAGCCCTTGTTCCTGCAGCTGGGGCATTTCTCAGCACGTTGATATAACTGTTGAAGCAGCTTTGCAGTGAAACAGATGAGGGAACTGCTCTGCCAAAAAATAGCCCAGCTAAAAGAAACAGTATTTTGTTTAATGACACAGCTGTACTTGTATATTATTTAGGGCACTCAGAAGAGAAGGAAAGCAGCAGAAAACTTTGAACACCACTGCTCCCCAAAGTAACACTCAAGCCTCAGCAACACCATTTCCCAGTGGTTACCTTCTGTTCTTCTCTTTCTGTTGCATTTTGACATTTCTCAATCTTCCACTGCCGCATGAAATCTCGCAGATATCCAAAGAGAGTAAGAACACCATAGCCTACGTAGGTCAGCACAGCAACCAGCATTGGTGTTTCTTCAAAAGCTTCATTGAAAGGCCTTTTGTATAATCCTCCATTGTGCACAATGTGATTTATCTACAGTAAAAATTTAAAGAGAGGCAGTTGAGGTATTAATTCAAGACAGACAGACAGGCATTCCTGTAGTAGTCCCCCAGCCTCTGATCAGTTAACAGGCTCTGCATCCCACCCCACTCAGCAAAAAGTGCTTCCAACTAGGTTCAGCCTTCACTGATGAATATGTCAGTCTCCATACACAGGGTTGCAAGTTGTTGACATAGCCAGTGTCAAAGCTGCCAATCTAGTGCAGTTTAATCTAACATTTCATTAAAGTTATTTAGCTTACAAAGCTATACAGAGAGCATTGCTTACATCAAGGCCAACCAAAATGAAAAAACTGCCTTCCCCTTCACAAAGAACTAGGTAGGCACAAATAACAGAATAGTGATGCTTCACAGGCTCACTACAGAGAAAAAACAAAATAGAAAGTAATAGCTTTATTGATCTAAACAATGTATTCTCAGGCTTGGAAGCCCATATTAGTGTAACAAAACAAGTATAATCTATGTGTCTCTGTTAGCCTAAAGATGCTGACATAAACATTGTACTCATCCATGAGGCAGACATGACACCACAGACAAAAAAGTCATTGTATAGAGAGTCTCAATACTGCATATATGTCAGCACACAGAACAAAGCAAGGCTTTCTGCATAAAATCCACACTAAAAGTCATCTTGCTACTTACATATTATCTCCTGAAGGTAAGAGCTTTACTAGCTGCGTAATACATGCAGCAGGTCCATCTCAAGTACAATTACTCTAATACATTATATTTCACAGAATTACAGAATATGCCAAGTGGGAAGGGCCCCACAAGGATCATCTAGTCCAACTCCCTGTTTATGACTGTTACAGAAAAACTTCATGGCTACAAGGCAAGTGATCACCCAACATTAACACTGGGGGAAAAACATAATGGTTTTAACTTTACTTGTTCAAAGAGTTAAGCTAAAGATCATATCTCATAAATCCAAAACACAGAAACCTAGTCATTAGATGCAAACTGCTACTGCCATTGCTAAAAGTTAAAGAATGGCTGCACTATAACAGAATAGCCACATATGAAAGAACACTCTCCAAGACATAAAGCCCCTATTTGTAGCACAAGATATATATAAGAAGAAATGCATTTTTTAAGATGTACTAATCTTAAAAGTCACAAAGAATCTTAAATCACAAAGAAACACCTCAACACCTAGGAAAGAGACTGAAACTAAATTCATCCTCAACAGCAAACAATTGCTGAGGGGTGCAGGCCAGCAGACAGAATAAAACCAGTTATTCACCCATGTCACTCCCATTATCATATGGGAAAGTAAGGCAGAATTGTACTAATCTCTGCAATGGACAATGAATCAAAGATACACATACTTGCTGGCCTCACCAGACAGTGCATGATTAGGAAATCTGCTCATCTCAGGTGCTGGAGCAAGTCTATATTTCAAGTCTGTTACTAATATCACAAAAGTAATTTTTCAGAAGCAAGGGTCTGCTCTGAGGATATAATTATGCTATAGCTATGAAGTCACTTAGTATAAACTGCAACAGCACCTTCCCTCCTGATAGTCTTTTCTACCTCTTCCCTTTTGCTAACACAGACATTCAGAAAAAAATTAACCACAGCAAACCCTTGATTTGGTCTCCATAGTTGTGGGGACTTTACAACTGCTGTGTAAACACAAAGTGTGGAAAAAAACCAGGAAAGACACAGTAGGAACCTCTCTTTTATCAGCAGCACTTATGCCAAATGCAGATAACTAATGCAGTGCTTTTGAGGCCAAGTTTAATGCTCAAGTAGTGGTAGTTTAAGTTAGAAAATTACTATGCTTTGGAACAACTGTAGGAACACTTATCACATTGCAGCTCACATGCTGGCAATTTAAAGCTTTAACAGAGGCCAAAGGTTCACACACCCTTTTCTTCATAAACGGTGCCAGCCATAGAAACTGCCCCTGCCCCACTCACTCCCACTTTCAGCCATCTGCACCAGCCTCCAGCTTGCACAACTAAAGCTAATCTGATTATCATCATAGCATCCCTGCAACACTGAACTGATCCAGGTTGAAAATATAATTGTTCGCTGAAGATTATTTGTTAGACCATAATAGTCTTTACAGCACTGCTCCATAAAGTCATTCTTAGAGCTCAGCAAACAAGAGCCAGTGGCTGTTGGAGAGAGAGGAGGGACAGCAGTACCATCATGACAATCACAGAATCAGTGAGCCAAGGCTGGAGAAGAAAAACCACAAAAGCCACCTCTTTTCTATTACTCTCAGGATTGCTTAACTGTATCACCATGGCTCAGCCCATGAAACCATAGAATTTTATTGCATCCAGATCTGAGAAAGATCATGCACCAAAGCTCCAACCACTAAAATTTCACAGCTTGATGAATTACAAGTAGAATTTTGCATCTTCAAACTGACAGATCAGGCTGTGAATAGCAGCTGTTCATGGGCAGGCACACTACATATCTGCTACCTGTGGCTGTCTACTAACAGCAGACAGTCTACTATCCAACAGATTTCTGGATAAACAGATAGAAAACTGGTACTGACTACTTTGCAAATTACCTAGTATCAAATAAATAGACATCACATCAAAGCTTTTAATGTATTTTCCAGAAAACTGGAAGTTCATCTGGAAGAGAGGAAAGGCTACATCCTAAGATTATGGATCTGAAGTTACCTAATACCAAAAACTAGCTACTGAAAAAACCCCACAAACAAACAGACCCAAATCTGTATGCATATTTAATCAGAATAAAAACATACCAATCTTTTCCAGGTCTTTGGAGTGCCTGTGCTTGTAACAAATGCTAAAACTAAACAAATTACTCCATACGGTCAAACCCAACATTTTACTAAGAAAGGTCCTTTTAGGAATACCTGTATTGATTCAACACATACTCCAATCAGTTTCACCTCTCAGTGTTCTACCCATGTGCTTACAAATTCTTATATTCACGTCTGCTACCATATAAACTGAGAAGCTTCTATGTCATCCTAGCTGAATCAAAAATTAAAGAAATACTCTGAATGCAGTCCCACAAACTCTTCATGATGCATACAGTGACTGTGAATACACATTAGAATTGACTACGGAAGAGACATTTGTAGACACATTTTAGATACAAGCCTATTTATTTTTCTAAGAATGCCTTATAAATCCATACATTAGCCCTCAAATGAAGGCTTATATGCAAAAGAAAAGCAAGCCTATTTCCAGAGATCAAGAAAGAAGGTAGCTACAGTTTAGTGATTATTTTCCTATTCTGGGGAGGGGAATAAAAAGGCATGCAACATTAAAACTTTTATGGTTTCAACAAGCCTTATGATAATAAAGTGAGCCATGACCTTTGAAGTAGAATATACAGCATAGCCAACTGGAGACTACAGAGAAAAGTCAGAGTTCACTTACACACGTGGTTAAAAAAAGCTCGTGTATGCTCACCTACATCTCTTTCCTATACTGCTCAGACTACATGTAAAAAGAGGAGTACCATCAGTAACTCAAGTGCAGGAGAAACACCAGAGAGCACCATGCAGCTGGTTACAAAAGGCAGCAAAGAATCAACCACAGGTAACACCTGTGTTAGGCCAAGCTCCCAGAGAAGCCCATCACATAAAACAATATTGTAACAGTTACTGAGGAGGAGCATACAGGTACTGCTAGAAAGGACTTCATTGGTCTACGCAGAACACATCAAAGTCTGATTATAACCACAGATCCCACAAGGATCTTCTACTCCCAACTCCTGGCCCAACAGCACAACTCCAAGAAGAACTCCTTATATTTTAGTGAGTTGTCCAAATGCTTCTTGAACTGTCAGGCTTGGTGCTGTGACCACTTCCCTGGGGAGCCTGTTCCAGTGCCCAATCACACTCTGGGTGAAGAACCTTTTTCTCATATGCAGCCTGAGCTTCCCTTGACACACCTTCAGGCCATTCCCTTGGGTTCTGTCACCTGTCACCACAGGGAAGAGATCAGTGTCTGCCCCTCCTTCCTCTCATGAGGAAGTTGTAGAGTGCAATGAGGTCTCCCCTCAGTCTCGTCCAGGCTGAACAGACCAAGTGACCTCAGCTGCTCCTCATATGGCTTCCCCTCAAGGCCCTTCACTGTCTTGGTAGCCGTCCTGTGGACACTTTGTAATAGTTTTACATCCTTTGTGAGAAGACAAAAGCCATGTGTAAACACAGGAACATTTGCAGATGCTACTGTAGACAGCACACAAGATTTATCACAGGACTCTGGGTACATAGCTTGCACGGTAGGCATGCAGTTTGGGGAGGGAAAATGCTATAAAGGCAATAAGCATGGCACACAGTAAGAGAGAAATGCACTGTAACTGATTATGCTGCTACCCCAGGAAAAACCCAGCACTCTGTATTAAGAGTCCATTTCTTTCATGCTGCCAGGAAGAACAAATTCAGATGAACCTGACAGACTTTATGTAAACACCTTAAAAAGATTATGCTGGGACACAACTTCACTAAATTCTTACTAAAATTTAGTAGCTTCTCATCGCCACATACCACACGTACTGCAGGAATTTTAATAGCAGCTTTGCAGCTTCTGTTTTTTAGAAACACAATGTGGAAGACTGCTTCCATGAGTATGCCTCCGTATGCAAAAGTGGTCACATTTATTAAAAAGCATTGAGGGAACTGACACTACAGAAACCACAGCAGTGAGAACTCCACAAAGGCAGTTGTTCTAAGCTGTTAGGGTATTCTGTGGTAATGTTACTGTTGCCTCCAGCCCTTTTCCTTCCACTGCTTTGCTCTTAGACTTCAAATCTCAGACTGTTGCATAGGTAAAAGGACCAAGTATTTACTACCAAAATTAGAATTAACTGATTTGAATCACATTTTAATCTTTCAAAAAAAAAAATCACAGGAGAAAAACTTGTTTTACAAAACAGACTTAACACTCATATTTTCATAATTAAACATTTGTTCTTGTTGACAGATATTATCAAATATTTTTATTTGCAACTAGTTACTCCAAACAAATT